TGTATACTAATTTTATATACTATATAACTAAATATTAACTATATATTCACTTTTCTTATCACTAAGAGTATTCAATAATCCTAATAAATCAGTTTGACACCATTTTGAATAATTTTGAGCAGTTATGATGTGTCATATCTGTCATTCATAACAATAAATGGCTCATAATGTGTGTCTATGTGACTTTGGTAAGGCCGATTTACTAGTGTGAGACATTTTTAGATGCGGGATAGTCCAACGGGAGCCATGCAGGGGTGTTTGATCGTATCCGGGTCTGTTTACTGACTAAAAATCGCAAAATGCTGGGCGAACCCCCCTCTCTACATGGATTGCTCCACCCCACAGAATCGTCTGCCATTTTGTGATTTATTCCGCCAGCGCATTGATCTCACTCACAGACATGCAGCAGAACATGGCGGGCAGAGCTGTGCAAAAATCGACTGGAATAAATCCGTTTTTCATCGCCAAAACCATCAAAACGTAATTTTTTACCCAATTATTTTTCTCGTGACCTGCAGCTGATGTTGGCATGCATACCCATAACTTTTGAACAGTTTGAAAGAGAGTAATTTGGACGCCGCTGTGCGTTTCCGGGTCGAATCGTGCCCCTCCTGCATGTGTTCATCCGCCATGTGCGATCCTGCTCCGTGATGAGAGAGCCATAGAGAGAGCATAGGTCGTCGATTTTTGGCCAAAATTGTGGCAAATCTTCTAGATATCTTCCAGATATGATATTAGTTCATGTATAATTGTGTTTGCAGTGTTTACAATGGCTGGTATGATGATGTTGCTCGGACTTTTCCCGTTAATTCGATATTTAATATGTCTGGAGCAATAATCCTATTTCTTTATGAAAAATGCTTTCTACGACACGCTGAATGCTGCACACTCTAAAACAGCCCCCCGTGGGGGGCTCTCGGGTCCTTTAAGCCAGAAACCAGGGAAGTACGAATAAACTTGTGACCTTAAGTATAAAGTCTGGAGCTTTGTTTTATTTTCTGTTTTATAAATGAGCTTCATTGTGTCCTCAGTTCTTAAACAGGAAATGTACCCATGTACTCAGATGACTCCCCTGGGTGTTTTCAGTGTCATCTATAACATCTGTAATCATTGTTGATGGAGCAGTTTCTGCTTCTACTTAATCATGTCACACATTTGAATTTTAGCAGTCTAGTTTAAGGATTTGGGTGACACTTATATTATACTAAACTAATATTTTATGAAATGTCTTTGATAAGTATTTCCCAAACTTTTTTCTGGGGACCCACTTTTAAAAAATGACAAACCATCGTGACCCAATTCACAAAAGGCCTCATCTATTGATCACGAGAAGAGCAAATTTGTGTGTAAATGAACGTTCCTGAACATTTCTACTGCTATTTCTGTATCACCGTATATTATTATACATAGTGAAACGGCCATTTTGAAGAGACTTATGTACGTTTTATGCTTTTTTTATTGAAAAGATATTATACCCATATTAAATACTTTATAAATGAGACCAAATAAATGCATTTCGATGAAGTTAACAGGCTCTCTCATTCTTTTAATTTCCTCTCAAAGGCAAAACAAACAATGTGTGCTAGCCTTTCATATTGGATTCAATGTTATAAAAAGGCTACACATATTAAAATAATATAAACATTTAGGCTCCCTCAGGTGGCTTAAAGGTGTACCGCAGATATAAATGTTTAAATAAAATATTATGGAAGAAATTCAGCTAATTTATTGGACGACCCTAATAAAATCTCCCGACCCAGTCTTTGGGAATGTCTTAGACCACAGGAACAACATGTATGAATTCTGAAAATGGGCGTAGTGCGCCTTTAACTGCTCAAGCCTTTGGCAACTAAAAAGTGTCCTCAGACAGTCCATCCAGCTGATTTAGCAGTGCAACATTTGTTAATCAAAGCAACAACAGGAAAGCATGAGTGCCAGTTTCACCATTACACTTATTAAACCTTCTGGGAATGCTGCTAGAATCTCTGCAGCAAATAGCAGCCGGGCTCCCTTCGAGGAGGACACACTACTTCATTGCCTTTGGCGTTACCCTTGTCCCGACAGAGGCCAGGCGGTGCTCGGTGCATTACCAACGATTAGCCCGCCACATGAGTCAGAGACGCTGCATCACTGAAGCATCCTGCCGTTGTATGAAATTTCTATTGCACTGTGGGCCGTTTGCTTCCCGCTCCAGAGTGACGTGGTGGAGAGGAAAGTTTTGATGGGATTCAATTATTCAGCCAGAAGATATTTTGTGATTGCCTTGTGCTGAACTGCATAGCCATAAATCACAATAGATGAAATGGGCGACACAGAGATAATTCAGCCGAGAGATTGGAGGTGTGCCTGAATCGCCTTAAATAAAGGCGAACCAGGAAGTCTAATGAGCCTCGGATATGAAATGAAAATGGAAGTGAGAGTCAACAGCGACAGGAGTAAAGCCATGCGAGCTGCTCTGAGGGATGCTTACATGCTCAAAATGACAATGCTAACATGTTAATGTTTAGCAGGTATAACTTACTTTGGTGTCCTGACATGCTAACATCTGCTAATTAGCACTAAACACAAAGTACAGCTGAGGCTGATGGGAATATCATCCAGGTATTTGGTCATAAACTAAAGTATTGGACACTTATGAATGTTTGTGCAAAATTTCATAGTAATTCGTTCAATAGTTGTTATATATTTCAGTCTGGGCTTAAGGATTGGTCTTTTAGCCACAGCGTATGGTGATGGCAATGTCAGTCTGTCGGTCGGTCTACCACTTAAAGGAGCAGTGAGTAAGATTTAGTGGCATCTAGCTGTGAGATTGCAGAGTGCGACCAACTAAAAACTCTCACTCCTTCCTTTCCAAGTGGGTCGGACAAGTACGGAGGCCTTCAGGTAACTTAAAAACGGGACATGCTCTCTCTAGAGCCAGTGTTTGGTCAACGCATTCGCACTCCCAACCCGTCAAATACCGCCGCTTGGTCAGTGCCCCTTGGCATTGGAGATGGACGCTCTACGTAGCACTAGCATTAGTTTTCAACGTCTTGGGACAGCTTATCAGTATACGCTTGTTACATTGTCCTTTAACAAATTAAAGGACAGTAAAACAAAACTTCCGTCTTCACAGGAAATTAAGTTATGGCGAAAAAATAAAACAGAAAAGAGTGTGCTTGATGTTCACTTGACTGACTAGCGAGTGAGAAACGACTCACGTGACTGACGACTGTTACGGGACACAAACACTGGTCTCCTAGATGAAGGTCTTGTGAATCATGCACCATCCTTCCCGTCTACTAATGTCTAGGGAGGTTTTACGTCACACAGTTTGGGGGGCCTCCGTTGTGTCGATCTCCGTTGCAGAGGGGAACTGACAAAACGGTGGTATTTGGCGACCTAGGAGTGAGAACGGGATGGTTTGTCTGTTCTGAGCTACTGTACAAACATGGAGGTGCAACATGGCGGAGTCTATATGTAGATATAAACCGCTCATTCTACGCTAATGAAAATACAAGGATTCTTAGTTTTGGGTGATTATAAACTAATGAAAACACATTTATGAATATTAAATTCCATTTCTGCCAATAAATCCCGTAAATCCTACATAATGCTCCTTCAAATGAGATCTGACAGATTTGACATAATTGTCAAAATTAAACTCTCCCCACACCAAAAACCAATTCTTCCAAATATACAGAGGAGACAAACATAAACTCTCATCTAACCACCATTAAACTCACCAACATTAAAGGTTAAAGCCTCTTTCCCCTAATTGACTAAACAAAGTACAGTTATTATCACACAATTCCTCACTTTGCAAGTCAAAGCAACTGTAAGAAATTGAATTGAATTATAGGATTCCAAAATTGTTATATATATATATATTTCTTTAATATGTATTTTATATGTTCACTTGCCTACATTTTACATCAGCGATTTCTGATGGCTTTCATTGGAGGTTTGAAACTTTCTCGGTGCAGGACCTAAATTAGACAAAGTCTCTCGCTCCATGACCCTATTGCAGCATGTCAGCATCCAGGGACCCAGCAGAAGTAGGCCTGAGACCCAGTATTGCTCCCAGCCCACAGGTTAAAGCTGCACGACGCAAAATCGTTTGAAGTTGACGGCACAGCGTAGCAGAGATATCTAGTCAAAGGGTTGTAAATCAGAAGGGCGGTTAACAGTGTTGATATTTCTCTTAATTGTTTGGATGTGGAGGTAGAACATTGTGAATGTACTTAAATTAAACATCTCATTTTCAAAAGGCCTGCAGATGTCATTGCTCAGTTGTAACACAGGAGGACGCCATACTCAAAGATTCAGTTGTTTTATTAACTATGGAGCTGGCCATTCATTATGCAGCACACTTCCTTACTATCTCTACACAGTAATACTAACAGTGTGGGGAACACGTGCACAAAATCTCCCTCCGATATCTGACCGTGGAAACGCTGTTGATTTTGATTCTTTAAACGTAGATAATGAAGAACTTCCTCCTTCATATAGTAACATAAAAACACATTTAACTGGTGGAGCAGCTCGGTCCCAAAATAACCGGAGCGTGAGGGAGTACTGAGGCTAATTTTGTCTGCCTCTGTGTGAACCCATGTGTCTCTGCAACCTGGATATCTCTGACGTCTGGCACTATATCACTATGCCAGTAACGCCGAGTCCAAATAGCAACAAGATCAGCATTAAGGACTGGTATTATTATTATGGAAGTCCTGGCATACTGTGGTGTATGCACTCTTGGGAACATTTGAGCCAAATGAATAATAATCTAAACTCTGTATCTAAACTTCATTTGACAAATGAATAGAGCTGCTGTCTCCAGATTCTCACTGGTTTGCAGCCAAAAGGACTTTAACCATTCAGCAGACTGTAATTTAATCAATTTGGAGATGTACTGTACTTTTCTGCTTTAGCCCAAAAGGCAATTGTTTTATTTTATTTATTATATTTTAAATTCTTGGTGAAAAAATATTTTTAATTTGGTACTAATAATTAATTCCCTTTATTTGTTCACATATTTGCATGTTTTTTCCCCAAAATTGGCACCAAATTACAGTTCTTTCCAGGAAAGGATTTTTAAGGAATATATCAGAAATTACAGACCTATTAAAAAAAAAAAGAGTTACTTAATCCATACACTTTCAGCTACTCAGCAGCTAATTTAAATATGAAAAAAACTGAATAAACCAAAACTATGAAATAAAAAATCCATATAAACTACATTGAAGATTGTAGTTTTTTACTCTAATTTATTAATTTCTGATTAAAACTGTGCAGATATTGAGATATTTAAAATAAAGTATGTCAAGTTAAGCACAAAATGAAGTTATCATTTTTAACCTTTTTCACACAAAAGTCCCCTTTACAAAGCTTCTGCTGGAGATTTCAATATGAAGAACACACTATTGAAAAAAAACAAAACCAGAAATAAAATTATTTATTGATATAAATACGTAGATGTTGCATGTAGTTCTCCTCTGAAGAACAGTAAATTGCTGTAGAAGTCTTGGCGTACAACTCGTTAGACTGACAATAATTGAGTTACCGTAGACAGTATCATTGGGGAAAGGGCTGATTGTGGACATGGATACGGACTTAATAAACTACTGAACGATAAAGGCAAAAAGCAACAATTGTTCATCATAGCACAGGGTAACACTCGGCAAGAGGTCACAGGCAACAACCCTTTGGCAGTGTGGTCACCAGCCATATATACATGTTCTTCCAGGAATCCAGCACCTTCCTGTAAAAGAAAAAAGGAAATATTTCAAACTCTAAAATCTTTATTCCTCGTTGTTATTCCCGACAGTTTTTAGAAATGCTAAATGCATCACGCACTCCCTGCTGCAAAGGCCTCATTCTGTCTGCTCCTAATTTGGGATTGCAACAGACGAACAAATCACAACAACAGGTGTTAAAAAGTGTTCAGTGCTGCAGTCGTAAAAACGTCAGCGATCCATAATCATTTAAAGGTACAGCAGAAGGCCTACCATAAAATGAATCTGTACATTTTTCAATATACGTGTTAAAAATAAACTTCATCCAGCAATTACTTATCCAGTATTGTATAACACTATGTATGACATTACACAGATTAAACACAACAACATGTTTAAACCGTGTTAGAGTTGAGGGAGTAACCAGCAAATAAAATGCCGTATCCCTGTGTCCAAAATGAGGCTGCTGCTGCTGAGTCGAGGAAATGTGATTAAGTTCTAACCGAGTACCCACGGAGCAGATCTAATTTATGGGTGGTACCTCTTGGACTCTTTTAGGGGCCGAGGCCACCTTTTCCAAGTTTAGTGCCCTCCATGTAAGGAAAGCAAGTCACAGAGAAGGCAGACGTCACCTCGGGACTCTTTTAAACCTATCATATACGTCCAGTTTCATTATTGAGCTTTTACTGCATTCAATACCCAGAATTATCCATGCTGTGCAACTGAACTACAATAAGCAACATATTTATATAATTAGACTATATTATCATGTAACAGGCACTTTGATTTGATCATGTCTGACCTGTGAGAATGTGAATGTTGACTTATTTCTTTTCTGCACCTGCAGGCGCCGCTGGCTCTGTTCAACACAAAGACAAGTTATTAGTGGGTTAAAACTCAAATACTGCTTAAAATACATAGTTTAAAATGCATAAATTATATATTTCTTTTTTAAGATCTTGACTTACTCTTGACCTCCAACTTGCAGCTGACAGTTGCTTCTCCGTGATCGTTCTTGGCTTTGCAGGAGTACACACCTCCGTCAAAGTTACCAGGCTTACGGATCTCCAGGGAGCAGATACCCTGGACGCAGATCTGCCTGTACTTGGGGTCGTCTCCGATAATCATCTGGTTCTTCATCCATATAACCTTGGGCTGTAGAAAGAAAAAAAAAAAAAACAGTGTTTTATCTCACAAATAAACTATTTTTGTTTGTGCCACATGGCAAGAAAACAACTCTTGATTGAAGTGGACACACAGCACACGCCCAGTTTGGGAGTTTTAATGGCACCGACAGGGTGAGGACCTCTTGGGGCCTCACAGGGAATGTTACACATGTGACCCCGCTTTGCTGAACTGTCACCATGTGGCCTCTCCTCCTCCTCCTCCTCCCGTGCTTCAGATGTAAAGAATACCAATTCTAGCCTTCTGATCGAGACCATCTACTATTCGCTAGCATTCTGTTTGGCGACCTGGTGGGATTATGAGCCCATACAGGAGGTGAGAGGCTCAGACAGAAGGCCAACACGGGCAGGCAAAGATCATACACATACTCAGCTCAGAGCTCTCAGTACGTCCACTCACCACCTCAAAATGATTATTTAGCTGCTGACAAGTAGTTTTGAGCAATGGCTCCACCGGTGTGACGGCATAATCTAGCAAACAATGTATGCACGCTTGCATACTCATGTCCCAAAATAAACATTTTAGACTGCATATCCTCTAGGGACTCATTTGTTTCCATTCATTTCACTGTAACATGTATGAAAATCAACTTTCAGTGAGTTCTTTGAGATAATTTAAGACAGCAAGCATTAGACTAATTTCATTTATATTTGTCAAAATGATTGCATTATTGTTGTGTCAGCAGAGAGCAGGGTTGTTCGGCCTTGGTGATGTGTTCGATGACACTCAGTGAGACCCAAAATTCGAGACATGGTAGCTGAAATACACTGAATTTATGAGCTTCCGAAATTGAATTTGGAAGACAGACTGTGTTCTCAGACCAGAACCCCCATTTATAATGCACCAGCAGCGCAAGAACTAGCAACGATTGAAGCTCCTTGAACGTCGTTGTGAGTGACTTTTTTTTAGCTCCTATTTCCGTAGGAGTAGGTACTCTCCCACAGGAGCCAATGCAGCATGGACGGCCGCCATTTTTAAAAAGCCGTTAGCTGTGTGAAGAATAGACAACACAAAACACAGCTTGTTTAGAAAAAAAACCCCGGAAGAAAACACAGACAAATGGACCGAGGGTGATTTCCAGAATTTACCTTGTCCATGAGCACAAACCCACTGAGCCAAAGAATGAGTGAAGGCTAGTGCCCAGCGAGCTAACCCAGTAGCACAGAGACAAACCCTGCGGAACAAAGCACACCCACTGAGCAAAAGAACAATAGCCGATTCAATTAATATCGTAACACGTACTTTCATAGGTTGATCGTGGCATGTAACAGAGTTGTTTAAATATTATTCTATCGATAAAAAAAAAGCTAAAAGAGAGCTTGTGAAACGCAGCACACTGGCCGACCTCCCATCTGGAAATGTGTGCGAGCGGCGAGCTTGTGTTCCTTTTGGCAGTGCGAATGCAGGCAGAAAAAAAGACTTTGACGGTATATTGTTTTCTCCCAGTGGGCAACTACTCTCAGGGAGTTCCCAGAAATGTTTGGTCCGAAAGGTCCCCACATCAGGTGTGGTTTAGTGGGAAAAACGGGACAAGACACAGAACTGGTCAGCTTTACAAGACATGTTACTGTACTTTTGGGGATCCCCTGACGGAGCACAGCAGCTTGGTGCTGTAGCCGACAGTGGTGGCTCTGTCATTTAGATTGGTGGTGAACTTGGGCGCCTCGCTGAAGTCGTGTTCCTGGTACTCAGGAGGCTTGTAGTCGATACCTGGAGGGTGGAAGAGAAACAGACTTGACCATGAAGCTCCAAGCTGCTCATCTCAGGTACTAACACAGTTCCTACAAATATGTTTTTTTTTTCGTACTTTTTCCATGATGACCAATCTAAAGGTTGGTTGCATGATTGCAATTTGCGCAATAGTATGTAGGATTGCATCTCTATCAAAAAATGGACCTAACATATATAAATGAATAGTTCAATTCTGTTACCATTAGCCAAATTTGAATCTGCAACCAAATAATCTAAGCTCAAAGGTCCACTTACTAGCTGCCTGAGCTTTCAGCAGCACCTCAGAATCTGCTGAAAGTGGACCTTTGATTGTAGGTTATTTAGTTGCACACACTGTTCCCGAAGTTTGAGAATGAACCTCCACACCCAGATTTGAATGTGAAAGTGAAAGCCTACTAGCGGATAACCATTGTTTTTACAGCGTCAAGACACCGTCAGTGAGGGAAGGATCAATGAGACAAAAGCTTCAGCGGGAAACAGTAACAAAGTAATTCCTGTGTCTGTTTTCTCGCTGGTCGAGGATCAATAAAAGAACAAGTTACCCGTCTTCAAGATGCTGGCCTCCCCCTTTGCAATGGTAGCGTCCTCGCTAGTTCCACACTTATTTTCAGAAAACCCTCTGAACTTGTAGGTGTTGCCCATGATGAGGTCAGAGATGGTGGCGTTCAGTCTGTGGTAATGCTCCAACACAGTGAACCAGTCCTGTAGACACACAACAGGACAAGGTTTTGAGGATTCAGGATTTACTGTGAGTACTGTACCAGGGGCTCCTTCCATCATGCGTTATTCATTATGACGTTGTAGACAGACGCGCTCCGATAATGAAAACTCACTCCAGTCTTTTTGTCGGCCTTCTGGATTGTGTAACCTGTGATTTCTGTGTTGCCGTTGTCTTTGGGTGGAGTCCATTCCAGAGCAGCATTGAAGCCCCAGCTATCCACAACCTTCACACTGGCGGGAGGCCCCGGCAGCTCTGTGAACAACAGAACAACATGTGTTACACCGACAGTTTTTAAATGACATCTAACGTAAATGAGCATATATTTACGTTAGATGTCATTTAAAAACATCTGCTACAGCCAAGGACAAGGGCAGACCGCAGCGTTTTGTTCGCTCTGCCGAGAGGATGATTGGCTGCAAGCTGCCGTCCCTTCAGGACCTGTACGCCTCCGGGACCCAGAGGCGGGCTGCAATCCATCAGGATCCAAAACCGGACACCACAAGAACAGTTTCTTTCCAACGGCATCTGAAGGCCCAATGGCACGCACTTCTATCCGTCACATTAATGCACTATTATCTCTCTACATTGCGTGTTTTTTGTTCTTGAATACCATGAACCTTTGCACATCCCCTAGAACAGCTAAATGGGCCTCAGACCGCCATCTAGTATGCCGCGGAAAAACTGCCAAATGGTTAGATTAAATCAAAAATAAAAAACTTTTTGGTAAATTACAAAGCTAGTTATTTTATATCTAAACGTGCTCAAGGATACACATAAAATAAATAGAATAAAATTGAAATAGTGATAATAAAAATGCATTATTTCCATGACCATTTTCTTTGAATATCACAACCACGACTCATCAGGTAGAGACGAACGTGTTTTCACTTTTAGCTAGCCAACGTTTCCTCGGAGACAAGTGACACATAATTTGAATTTGAATCCGTGATGTTGGGTACAACCTGGTGCCAGGGAAAGCTACAAAGCATGTGGTGAGGAAATATGACCCTCTGTACATTACATTTGGATTCATCATGGCAGGCTGTGAAGAGCGAGAGCAAGCTGAACATTTATTTTGGTCACTACAGCTGTGGCATAATAGATATTTACATACCAGGTTATTTTTCTCCTTTTTTTTGTCACGTTATGTTTTTTTCCTCATTTAATTGTATTATTTTAGAAGTGGACCTAACATATTTTTTAAATTTACAATTTTTTATTTTTTCTACCTACGTGGCAATAAACAGAATTCTGATTCTGATAAAACCATCTGTCCCCATCATTCTGAACTGTATCTTGCACATGCCGCTTCCCACCTCCTAATGTAAACTAATGTAACCGTTTGCTCACCAACAATTTGCAGGATGAGCGAAGCCTTGTCCTCGAAGTCATCCACCTTCACACACATCTCATACACTCCAGAGTCTTGTCTCTCGGCCGTGCGGATGAACACGATGCTGTCTCTGTCGGAGCTGCGGATGTTCACCCTCTTTGTGTCCAGCGGCTGTCCGTCCTTTAACCAGGTGACCACAGGTTTGGGTTTGCCCTGGTAAAAAAAAGAAAAAGAAAATCAGACAGTGAATTGTGAGGGAGCTGCGTGTTGTTATTCATTACGCATTTACAAGAGCGCTACAGTCATCTTCTGCTTACTGTGAAGGGGATGGTCAGGTTGATCTTGGCTCCAGTGTGAGCGACGTATCTCTGCCTGAGGAAACGTGGCAGGCGGACCTTGGGGCGATCTGGAGAGAAAAACAACCAATGATTATTAAAGTGTCGGAGGAGGATCAGCGACAAGACGTCACAGCCTTAGAGGGATTGCTAGGAACCTATTGAGAGATTTTTGGAGTGAAACAAAATGATTTAATTTCCTTTTGTGACCCACAAATCTTGAAGAAGTCCATAAAGCTGCTGGGCTGATCTAAGCCCATCTGAGCCAGGGAATCTTCACTGGTGCCACAAGTGTGTGTCTGTGCTTCAACTGGTTGTAAAAGTAACGCTTATTCTAAGCCCTTTATCCCTTCGCTTTATATCCGTCTACTCAATGGGCACACCTTTCATTCTTTAAATGGCAGGATGTGTTTAAGCAGCTACACAGATCGTGGCACAAGTAGCGTTTTGTATAGATTATAATAAAAAGTAAATAAAATGAGAAGCTGCACATAATATTGGAGGACAGGAATCTACGGTAGGCATGATAGTAAGTATGTGTGTATGTTCATGTGAATTCACATGCATGTTTGTATCTGTGTGCTGTGTTTTTGGACTTCAATTGTATTTTGCCGATTGGAAAAATCACATATATTTCATATATTTTTTAATGCCATAATAATTATTGCTTTATTGTGTTAAGTCAATATTTACTCAAACTCATAATAAAACATTTAGCTGTGTTTTAAACCATCATTTTTTTTATTTTTCCCCCTCCTAGTTTATTGTAGTTTGTGCACGCTGACTCACACAGTTGCCTTATTGGGACCAATTATGTTGCAATAACACAGGAAATTGGAGAAGTAAGAGATGTATCTGCATGTAGGGAATTTAAATCATAATTTAATATAAAGAAGTATGAGAAGCGCCAAGTGCCCTGGTGGCTCATCAAAAGCTTCCTTCTAACACACAGATAGTTAGCAACTGTGACGTTTAAAATGATACTTAAGCCCCATAAGTATCTCGCTGAGGCTTATTTGTAAAAGTGATTAGGTAAGAAGCACCAACTGCTGAGTCCAGCACAGCAACATTTGTCAGGACTCTAAATAAAGAAAGCGTACTGTGGACTATCACCTCCCCTCGTCACGCATGATCGGGATCTTCAGTTACTCCCACTCTTGTCAGAATGCATTCAAATCAAAGATAGATTATGCAAGAAGGTAACCGATTTGTAAAAATAAAAAATAAAAACCTGGAACATAAATCATCTGGTGTGAGAAAACAAGGAAAAGTGAGGTAGATGTGCATCTATTTACTCGAACAAACATACCGCGTGTTAGAGTGTCTTATCACTTCGTTCAGAGAGGACGAGGCTTAATGAAAATTCTCCCTGTAAAGTCTGTGGCATGTTTCAAAATAAACAGTGAATCTCTGGAAGTGTCATGAGATTTGGGTGTCACCTGAGAAGTTAGCTCCATATCCACCACCCCTACTGGAATTTACCATCCGCACCCCTCTCCTCCTGACCCACAGCCCCCACCTGCTTGCAGTCAGATCACTTGTCACCATCGATCTTGCAGGAAGCAGCCTGACAGCACAAATCCTGCCGGGGGATCACAATGCAAACCCCTGCTCAGAAAAACCTGCATTAACAGCGGGCACATCCCAGCTATGCTTTCTAAATCTTTGCGTTCATTTCGTCGGAAACCATTCATGAGTTGTTTCTATATGTGGCGGAGCGCCTGCTATGGCGAAGGCGACGGTGTACAGGGACCACTTTAAATACTGCCAGTCCGGCTGGGGTCAGGTTACCGTCCCTCCTTGTTCGGCTCTCCATTCCGCATAACGATGATTCGTGAGTGAGCCGAAGCAACGCAGCTCCTCCTTTTAAAGCCCTCAGGGTCCAATCATCATTTTACCACAGATCACTCCACATATACTGTCTATGATTAACACTGTAAGGTGTAGGGCATCCGTAAAAAACCAATCTACTTAACAAGTGTGTAGTTGTAACCCTGTGGTGAGGTGGATCAGTGTGAGAGGGCCACAGTTTTATGCCGTTAACTCCGCAGGTATGTGCCAATGGGACACGGACAGCTGGGGAAAAAAAACATTGCTGAGCTGCTTTAGTTTGACTTCTGCACTTTGCAACTCCTCTTTCCCGTAATAAATGGCTCTTAAGCCACACCCTTGGTTAAATAGTTTGTCCCATATGCATTTAACTTTACAGATGGATTAAATTTATTTGTCTTGAAAAAAAGACCTGTATGCAACTTGATTTTCATTTTCAGTCACCTGGAAGTTAAGATCCAGACACATATCGTATCCGAGTTTGAGACCAAATTCGTCCTTTCAAACCAAATTTAAAAGGACGAATAGATTTTGTTCCCGGTGGGTGTTGGCCTCCGCCAGGGCTGCCCTTTGTCACCGGTCCTGTTCGTGATTTTCATGGACAGGATATCTAGGCGCAGCCTGGGGGCGGAGAACGTCAGTCTCGGGGGTCTCGGGATCGCTTCTCTGCTATTTGCAGATGATGTGGTCCTGTTAGCCTCCTCGGATCGTGACCTCCAGCATTCACTGGGGCGGTTTGCAGCCGAGTGTGAAGCGGCGGGGATGAGAGTTAGCACCTCCAAATCTGAGGCCATGGTTCTCTGCCGGAAACTGGTGGATTGCTCCCTCCAGGTGGGGACGGAGTGCCTACCTCAAGTGAAGGAGTTCAAGTATCTCGGGGTCTTGTTCACGAGTGAGGGTAAGATGGAGCGGGAGATCGACAGACGGATCGGTGCGGCTGCAGCAGTAAAGCAGACGCTGCACCGGACCGTCTTGGTGAAGAGGGAGTCGGGCTCAGCCTTAGAGATAGGGTAAGGAGCTCGGTCATCAGGAGGGAGCTTGGAGTAGAGCCGCTACTCCTTCGCGTCGAAAGGAGTCAGCTGAGGTGGTTCGGGCATCTAATTAGGATGCCTCCTGGACGCCTCCCACTGGAGGTTTTCCAGGCACGTCCAACTGGGAAGAGACCCCGGGGAAGACCCAGAACACGCTGGAGAGATTACATCTCCCAGCTGGCCTGGGAACGCCTCGGGATCCCCCAGAATGAGCTGGAACATGTTGCCGGTGAGAGGGAGGTCTGGGTCGGCCTGCTTGACCTGCTGCCACCGCGACCCGACCCCGGATAAGTGGAGGAAAATGGATGGATGGAATAGATTTTGTCAGATTTTGTCACTTTTGTATGATTATTGTATCTCAATACACTGTTTTTACTATTTACAGATGCATGGTGTGTGTAGTATTTAGTAACTCACATTTTTGCTTAATTCTGTATCTAGAAGGTGATATATTTGTACACATATTTCTATGTTTTCCCACTTTTAATGTCTCCCCTTGTTTTTGTCTGTGTACCATCACTGACCCATTCGTGTAGCCTATTCCCCGTTTCCCTAGTAGATGCTCACACTCACACAGTGAAAAGCATTCTAGTGTTTTCTTTTAAAGTATTATCTACATGACGCATCTGTTCTGCTTCATTTAGCTGCTGTGACGCTTCAGTTTCCACACGTTTGTGATAAAGTGGTAAACCATCCGAGTAAGTAGTTATTGTGCTGAAAATGCACACTCAGCTATTTACTCAATATCGAGTGATGTTCTGAGACAGATCTTGCACGCTTCTTACCAGCGACCTCCTTCACCTGGACGGCCTCGGGGAGGGTGACAGGCGGGCTGCGGCCACCGACGTTCACAGCCACCACGCGGATCCTCAGACGGTCGCCGGTGGTCTGGTTCTTGATAACGTAGCGGGAGGACTTCTGCAGATCCTCGTTGACTGCTTTCCAGTCCTCGGCTGAATGGGATTATACAAAAAAAATGAAATGAAGACAGGCTGGTGACGATTTACACAGCTATTGTTCATCTTGATATCATACAGAAGGATAAAGACTGTGATGATGAAGTTTGCTGACTGGGAAAACTCAGACCAACAGTCTAATTCATGCAGAATTAATAAATTACAAACAGCTTGTTGTGCCGCTTTGTGAAAGAAATAGTGATTATGTTTCACACACATTATTATTATTACATTAGGAATTGGTGTTCTGTGGGTAAACAGCTTGCCCTGTCTGCTAAATCAAGCCTACATTGAAGTACTGCTGATATGAGCTTAGGGCAGTAAGTCTAAAAGCAGGACCTCCTGCAAGACCACAGCAGCTCCTGAAATGCCTCTTTCCTTGTAGGGAGAAGTTAGATAGCTCGTGATATAGCGGAGTGACACTTGGGGGACAGCTGCAACCGATAGGGCTGACCCGCATTACTGTAAAACAGCTATTTCACATGTTCCTGGGGGTATTTAAAAAGCACTTATAGTATAACAGTATATACTTAAAGGTAACAGTATATACTTAAAGGTATATCTAATGATAGTTATTAGAGATGTAATGATACTTGCTTTAAAAAAAAAACCTAAAACCAGCTGTTGAAATAAAAGCTTTCGACATCATTTAAAAGGGTGGCTGACATTGTTGCCACAGTGTATTAATAATCTGACCCCTTTCGTGCACCTGCTGGTTTTCAGTGCACCTGGTTTAAAAAGCACAGCAGGACTTACTTCCATCCTTGCAGACTTCAATGGTGTATCCGTCCAGACCGGATGGTCCGAGGACCTCTGGCTGGCTCCAAATGATAGTCACCGAAGTTTCATTCTTATCCTCGATAAACAGATCCAATGGGACACTTGTGGGCTCTGCAGAATCAATAATTAGATTGTTTCAATCAGAAAACAGTTGAGGGTCATAAGAGATGAGCACAGTTCTTTTTTTTACTAACACTGTAATAAAAAAAAGGAAAAGAAGACGAAGTGATGCAAGTAGAGTCATGTCACTCTGAGATGGAGTTTCCTTTCCGGATAGACCTTTACCTTGCGGTGGGGGTGTGGGTGGTTTAGGCTCTTCTGGTGCAGGCGCTTCAGCAGCTTCAGCTGATGTTAATCAGGCATTGGCTTTATTATTGGCAGCGCGTAATAAGCAGAGCGACGCCACAGCATCGAATTACATCCAGCTATGTACCTCTCAGCACTACAATGCTAACATAAACGGCGTTAAATCATCTCAGATATTAAAGAGAGAGGAGCAGAGCAGGAACATGTTCGGCTTTACCATCAGCAGGTGCTTCCGAGTCAGCAGCGGGAGCGCCTTCTGCGGCTGGAGCAGCAGCTATTATTGGACGTTAGATATTATTAATTAGTGCATTAAGCAGGTGGGACATGTTCTAACAGATAATGGGTGTGTGTGTGTGTGTGTGTGTGTGTGTTCAGAGTGCAGACTGTGATGAAAGTGTCATGGAGAAGTCAGTTAGCGTCGTTAGCTTTAACGTGAGAGGTTAAGGAATCGGATTTAAGAAGGTATCTGTTGTGGCTCATGTGACTTTCTTTACCATCGGCGGGGGCCTCAGCGGCAGCAGCTGGTGTTTCCTCTGTAGCGTGAGCGGCAGCTGGCATTAGAGGTTAGAGGATAGTAGCATTAGATATTAGTGAAGTTAGCTTTTACTGTAGGAGGTGGACGGTTTCAAGGTTTAATAATAGGTATGTAAGAAATGAGTTGGTACTCTGATCGTCTGTTTTACTATCAGCAGGGGCCTCAACAACCCCTGCAGCGGGTGCAGCGGGTGCAGCAGCTGGTATTAGAGGATATTAGCATTAGATATTAGTGAAGTTATCTTTTACTGTAACAGGTTCAAGATTAGTTGCATATATATGTTAATACTCTGATCGTCTGTTTTACTATCAGCAGGGCCTCAACAGCTGCTGGAGTTACCTCTGCAGCGGGTGCAGCAGCTGACATTAGAGGTTAGAAGATATTAGCATTTGTTGTTAGCAAAGTTATCGTTTACTGTAGGAGGTTCACGATTCAATACGTATACTTGTTAATACACTGTTAGTCGGTTTTACCATCAGCAGGGGCCTCGGCGGCAGCAGCACCAGGTGCTTCTTCTGTAGCAGGCGCAGCAGCTGATATTAGATGTTAGAAGGTTGACACATAACATTTTGAAAACATGACATATTTTTCAAAATGGTATGAAAGAGGTTAAATCTATTAAAATAAAAAATGAAAAGTAAAAAATGCGCAGTAGATGATAACTGACACTCCTCTCAGGGTATCATACCATTGGCTGCTGGCTGATCTGCAACAACTGGAGCAGCAGCTTCATCAGTGGGAGCAGCTGATGTAGATATGTTAAATGTTAGAGATAGTAAATACACTTCTTAATAAAACAGGTGTTGTTATTAATATGCGTTATACATCAGTAGCGTAAAGTGAGCACATCAAACCAGTGCCACCACCTTGACCGTGTATTTCACAACTCATTTTATATATTTATATTTAGGTTTGTTAACGTTTTGCGTCAAGATGGAGCTTTCACTGAGGTATAACGGCGCATATCAGCAACAACTTTACAAGTTATCATGCAGTTTTGCAAAAGAAAGGTAAAGCGCGTCAGAAGCGCAGAGGTATGATTTCCAGTAGCTTGCAGAAAAGAGGTCGTCAGAAGAAGGCGGTTCATGCAGTAACCATGCGTTTTCCGTTTTTGTGTCGATGGCTACAACTCCTGACCAATGGCACCTCCACGCACAGCGCGCGTAAAGGTTGCCATGTGCTTACCATTAAGTGGACCCACAGCTACTGCTTTAATTAAATGGTTAAACAACTGATCCAAGTTTCATCCGCTGACAAATAAAAGGAAGGTGTGCTGAATAATCGGTGACTCGTGGCTTTACCGTTTGCGGGTGGAGGGGTGGGTGGTTTGGGCTCCTCAGCTGGCGGGGCAGCAGGGGCCTCTCCCTCTGCAGGGGCCGCCTCAGCAGGTGCAGCTTCTGCCTCGGCGGGGGCTGGGACGGCTTCGGCCGGGGCGGCCTCGGCAGGAGCGGGCTCAGGAGCCGGCTCTGGAGCCTTCTCCTCCTTCTTGGCTGGCTCTTTGTTAGCCGCCTTCTTCATTGGGGCAGGCTTGGACGGCATGTCGGCGGTTGCAGCTAATTCCCAACTCGGTGAAGCCCTTAAAACTGGATCGAATGCCGTCATTAGAGCGGAGGAGGCAGGCTTATATAGGGCCAAGCAGGTTCAAGCACCGCCCCCTAATGAATTACATGTAATAGATACCGAGCACCATGTCTGACTCAGACCCCATGTCCGTTTGTCTCACTCATCAACGCTCGTTGTGCATCATTAACTGTTCCAAAACGATGGCCTAATTAAATTACATAT